CTATTAAAGCTGTGATTGAGTTGTTTGTCGGTAAGATTATAGAGTCGCCAGTTCTTAAGCTTTCGGCTCTTCCCCGTGATCTGAGTATACCTTCGTCGCTTAAATAGACGTTTAAAGAGATTAGTTTGCTATCGCTTTCAATACTCTTACCGCATTTGAGGTTGATAACTTCTTGCCGATATTCACTCTGCTGTACCTCTTTTATGAGCGCGCTCTTAGCTCTATGGATAATCTTGCCACATACGCCGGTAGGTATTTGCTCCTTCTCTATCTTGGATTTTAGTTTTTCTACGAACAATATTACCATCGCCATCGTCAAGTATAATCGACGCCAGCTTGAGAACCTATCAGCATCGATTAAAGGTTGTGTGGTTTCGCCTTTGGTTATATGAAAGGTAAAATGTCGGAGTTCAGTATGCTCCACTGGTCCGAGGTCGTCGCATTTCGGCCAATCGGTTTGATTGAAAGATAAGAATTTCGGCCCGTGCAGCCAGATATCGGAACTTTGTTGCCGGCTGAATTTCGTTGCCAAGTCAGCAGGGTTAAGTTTTGAGGGAACCCAATTCCAGTCAGTGGCGTTGGTCGCCTCCAATACCTCGCCCACGCGATGCATTACATACTGTTTGAAATTTCTCGGATCCATGCGGAGCCATTTGAGCACGGTCTTTGAGTCTGACCTCCAGAATCGAGCATGAATCGGAACTTGTAGTGCCTTCATCACATTGTTCGCCAATCTTACGCCAGTCACTGCAGCTTGTAGTTCGAGCCTCGGGATAGATACGGGCTTTAGCGGTGCTACTTTTGACTTAGCGGCCACGATGATAGTGTTGACTTCGTTTTGGTTTTTCACTCGCATATAGCAAATTGCCGCGTAAGCATACTCGCCGGCATCTACGAAGGTGTGGATTTGGTTGCATTCGGAGTCTTTTAGAAGTTGGCAATAACATCGCGGAATTGTAATAGAGGTTATTGCTGGCAACAACGTCTTCCACTGGCACCACTTGTTGTAAAGCGGACCTGGGATTGGGTCATCCCAGTTAATGGCCGATCGCCATACATCCTGCAGTAGTATTTTAAGACCTATGGTGTAATGTGCCACAAACCCGAGAGGGTCGAAGATGGACATCAACACCTGGAGTACTTCCCTTTTGGTTGGGACCAAGCTACATTGCAAGATGTCTCGTCTCATTTTGGAGAACCTGCAAATAAACTTAAAAACGTCGTTAGTTGGATCCCAAAACAAACCTAATATTTTTTCTGCATTGCTTAAGTCCTTAGGAGTTTGATCTTCGACGGACTCCCCTGGAAGTTGCCTCAGAACAGCTGATGAGTTAGATGCCCAGTTACGAATGTTGAATCCAGCTTGAGCGTGAATTGCTTTCACTTGCAGAGCCAGTTCCAGTGCTTCTTCTTCGGTATCGACGCTGTCGATGAAGTCATCTACGTAATGATGCTTTTGTATTGCTTCTACCGCTCGCGGTGATGTTCGCTTGTATTGCTCTGCATTTACATCTCGAACAAAGTGAGCAATGCAAGGTGCGCAGCTGGTTCCGAAGGTAAGCGCTTGCATAACGTAGATGTGAGGGTTATGTAACTCCTCACAGTTCTCGTGCCACAAGAACCTCTGAGCGTGCATGTCCATTTCTCTTACGCGAATCTGGTGGAACATTTCGGCAATGTCTCCACAAATAGCAAACTGCCCAGTTCTAAAAGCCAGTAATACGAAGACTAGCGAATTGAGTAGATCTGGCCCGCACAGAAGGAAATCGTTAAGAGCGGCTCCATCAGATTTGGCCGCAGCGTCCCACACAAGGCGCAACTTGCCGGGTTTGTTGGGGTTTAGTGTGATAAATATCGGCAGGTACCACTCGTGGTCGGATGATCTATTTACTTCGTCTGCAGTTAACCTTCTTGCGTAACCTTTACTAATTAAGTTGTCTATTTGCTTATGCATGTCACGTTGCAAATTGGAGTCCTTAGCTAACTTTTTCTGCATACATCTGAAGCGTTTAAGGGCATTGTCGTAACTAGCTGGTAACTTTGCGTCGTCATGCTTCCACAATAACCCCACTTCATAGCGGCCCTCTCTTTTTTCACACGTTGAATTTAGAATTTGCAACGCTCTACAGTCTTGTGGGGACATGAGCTCTCTTTTTTGCGGCATCTCTAGGCTGAAGTACTCCTTGATCTCTTCGTGTAGGATTTCGTATTTCTTTTCGCAGTCACATATGTGAATATTCAATAGTTGTGAGTCAAAGTGGTTAGTAGTACCTCCCTGCAAGGTCCAACCTAAGCGACACTTAGTGGCGATCGGCTCAAGCCAGTGTCCCTCACGAGTTTTGATAGGCACCGCAAGTTTCCAACAATTGGCTCCTATTAGAATACCCGGCTCGGCATTTTCATATGACTCGATCGGAAGCCCGCGTAGATAAGGGTATTTCTTCGTAATTTTCTCCATATTAAGAGACTGGCTAGGCAAGCCCAGTCTCGAAACGGTGTGCACTTCATTTATTTCGTATTTTGCATTATCGTATGCGTTTGAAATCTGTATCGACGTTCGCATTCAGTCGCTTTCGATCCGTGTGTTTTCGCCGGTCCAGCGAAGGCACAGTGATTCTGGCTCGCCGTCCAAGCCCAAGAAATCATAAATGTGTTTTTCCATCAATGTCACGGATGATCCCTCGTCTAAAAAGGCGAAGGTTTTTATGGATTTACCCTTTGAGTGTATGCGAACGGGTATTATACGAAAACATGGTGCATCTTCATCATTACCTACATGAGTGTTTACCAGTTGATTATTTATTAGAGGTGGTGTGGTATTTTGCTTTTGCTCAGCATACGTAGATACGCTCTTCGGCGTGTTTTTATGAAGAAGCTTGTGGTGCTTTGATTGGCAACCATCGACTCCACACTCCCTGTTCGCATAACACTTTCGGCGGTGCATGTTAAGGCATTGTCTGCACAATTTATTGGATTTTACTACATCTCACTTGCGCTCCAAGGTGAGTTTACTAAATTCTACACACGTCTGTATTTTATGATCGGTGCACCCGCATAAAACACACCCAACTTTGTTATGATTTTCGACACCAGTTGCTTGCGTGTGTGCGTTAATTACGCCACTCTTTTTGGATACACGTGGTGTGATTACCTTACTTGCTGCTTCGGCTATTTGGAAAATCCAATCACTAAACGCTTTAATAATTGGTACTCGCTCGTCTCGCTGTAACATTGCCCAATTTAACTTGTGTTGGCTTGGAAGCTTGTCAACGAATTCCTTCACCAACATTGGATTATTCAGATGCGCCTCCATATGGCAGGCTTCCATCATAGAGCAGATGTTTTGCACGCACAACGCGAAGTCGATAAGACTTTCCAGTTTTTCCTTCAGCGGTGGAATCGCCCTGGCTTTCTCCACCAACGATTCTAGTATATGCTCTGGACGTCCAAAACACATCTTAAGTGTCTGAATTATTTCCGGGACCATAGAGGGGAGCAATAATTTGCAGCGTACCGTCTCATAGGCCTTTCCCTTGAGACACTTCTGCAGCCGCATTAGGTTTTCGGCGTCGGTGTACCCCGCTACTTGCGTGCTGTTTTCGTAGTTACTTATGAACAGCGGCCAGTCATCCGGATTTCCGCTGAAGGTAGGCAAATCCTTTGCAATTACTTGTCTAGCGGCAAGCTGCGAAGAAGTCGGAGCTGTAGTTGTGCGGTTGATTCCGATAGACGAACCGCCTGCGCTTAGTATTTCGTACTTTTTTCGTAGATACCTTTGCTCTATTTTTCGCTCTTCTTGCAAGAGTTCCAATTGTAGTACGTGCTGTTGGGCTACGCTGTCGTAACCTTGAGTTGCATCAAGTCGCGCCCCACATTGAGCGCCAGTTATCGGTGGAAGTAGAGGTTGTTGCATAGCTTGCTGTCCTAGACCCGGGAGTTGCTTGGCAGGTGGGAGCATTGCGGTTGAATATATCATTGGTGGGTTCGCGCGATGCGCATTGGAGGTGATAACGGCAGGAGTCATTATCGTTGCCGTTGATACGATGATATTGCTTGCTGTTGTAATTGAACCTATTGGTTGTTGACCATGTGTACCGAATGCTGCAGAATTATTATTCTGTACGTCCGTATTTGGCGACGATGCTGCTTGTGGTTGCCCGGTCGTTACCGTAGATATTTCACCATTAGATGTCGGGGGAGCGATAGTACTCTTTTCAACGTGATTTGTCTGCGCGGATTCGCAAGATTTACAATTCCAACTTATGTTGGCCACGTTACTATTCACCCCGATACAATCGTAGTGGAACCACCTGTCACAGGAGTCGCACTGTACCATGCGGTCGGTATCTTTTTCACAACAATTATTGCAATTGTAGTCGTTAGACATGTTTATTAACTTTTATTTTAAAGAAAATATTTTTAAAGATTTGTTGTCTCTCAAATAAATGACCAAATACAAATTTTTTAGCTTTGCTTTTAACTTTATTTGCACTAATTCATGTGCTACTTGCGCAGCGCTTTAAAAATATTTTGTATGGTTAATACGCGTGTCAAATACAAGAAACACCCAGAATTTTACTCTGGCGGTGTTATTTATACACTTATGAAATGAATACAAAATATAACGGTGGCTATTTAACTATTTACAAAATGTATGTACATACATATATGGCTTATTAATGTTGTAGTACGTATGAGTGTAGATGATTTAACTACACGTATACACTCATGTGTATATATAGGTATGCTAAGCTGGTAGGCAAAGTGATAAGTATACCCAGCGGCGGTGTAAACGAGTATACCCAGCGGCAACAATGCCGTTGTAACCTTTTCAATATCTCAATTCTGTCGTCAATGGTGCATGCTGTCAAGTTAGCACTACATACTGAATTTTGTTCGAAAAAGGGTCTACTCAATTATTTCCAGAAAAACGAAAGCTACAAATTTTTTCTTTTCACAACAAATTTTAAAGTTAAAAGCTACAATTAATGGCATAGTAACATACTGGATATCTCAATTCTATCTACTAGGTGTATGGTGTCAAGTTAGCACTACATACCATTTTTTCTTAAAAAACGAGAGCTACAAATTTTTTCTTTCCACACCAAATTTTAAAGGTAAAAGCTACAATTAATGCCGTTATAACATTTTCAATATCTCAATTCTATCGACTAGGTGTATGGTGTCAAGTTAGCACTACATACCATTTTTTCTTAAAAAACGAGAGCTACAAATTTTTTCTTTCCACAACAAATTTTAAAGTTAAAAGCTACAATTAATGCCGTTATAACATTTTCAATATCTCAATTCTATCGACTAGGTGTATGGTGTCAAGTTAGCACTACATACCATTTTTTCCAGAAAAACGAAAGCTACAAATTTTTTCTTTCCACAACATATTTTATAGTTAAAAGCTACAATTAATGGCATAGTAACATTTTGGATATCTCAATTCTATCGACTAGGTGTATGGTGTCAAGTTAGCACTACATACCATTTTTTCTTAAAAAACGAGAGCTACAAATTTTTTCTTTCCACAACAAATTTTAAAGTTAAAAGCTACAATTAATGCCGTTATAACATTTTCAATATCT